CCTAGATCCTAAACCCACAGAAAAGTGTGGCCCTTGACCACTTACCAAAATCTTGGAGTGGCCTCCCACCAAAAATTATTGCCCATCCCTGATCTTAGCCCAATGAATTGGGAATTTTTGTACTCCCCTCTCCCCACAAATAAATAGCTGTATTCACTTTACCTAGAAGAAAGCAAAAGAGGGTAAGTTACATTCAGAAGGGAAGGAAATAAACAATAAACCCCCAAGCCACTGAACACATCTGATTTGCCACTATTTGCCTCTGAAAGAATGTGAAAAGAGGTCTTTCTTCTGAGTCACTGAACAAAGCTCAGCATCAGTTTTCGGATATCAGCCTGCAGTAATTCTCCATGCACTCATATCTGAATACTTACATACCAAAAGATGCATTCAAAAAAACTTACATTCTATAGTGATGAATGCTGTTAAAAAGTGTCCATAAAAACAAATGCTGCCCACATGCATAAAATGATTTGATTCTGACATATACAATGTGACAACTAATCTTAGAAAACGTGCCAGTCACAACTCCCATGTGGATATTTGTTATGAATTGAGTTCCAAGAGAAAAAAAATCTACTTTTTCACCAAGAGATCTTAGAGAATGAATATCAAGCATATATTTGTGTTACAAAAATGCTGAATAATTACAGTGACCTTACTATGCTAAGGGCTGCACAAACCGAACAAAAAAAGAAGATACCTGTCCCAAAGAGCTTACAATCTAAAATGCCTTTTAGCTACATTATATTTCTCTTAAGCTACATCTGTACTGCGCATTCTTGCAGAAGAAGATATGCAAATGAGGCGCAGCAATGAATATCATATAATCATAGAATATTAGGACTGAAAGGTACCTCTAGAGGTCATCGAGCCCAGTCTCCTGCCCTCATGGCAGGACCAAATACTGTCTAGACCATCCCTGATAGACATTTATCTAACCTACTCTTAAATATCTCCAGAGATGGAGATTCTACAAAGATGCAGCATTTAATATGGGATGTGGGGGGGCTGGAGTTCACTGCTTCATTGAGTTGTTTTAGGCATTGGATATGAGTCAGATGCAAGCCATAAGGGTGCTCAGAGAGTGAGGGCGTAGGCAGCTTTTGCTGTACCTCCTTTACAGAGTACAGCTATGAGTTTGGGCTAACTCCATTGGGTGGCATAATAAGTGATGGAGCCATGGCCCTGCCCCCGCCACTTCCTTTCAGAGAGACTAGTGCAACTAATGGCAATAGCCTTGAGCAGTCCTTGCACTCACTGAGCTCAAGGATAGGGATTGTGGCTCAGATCTTCACAGATACTTAGGTACCTGACTCACAGAGAGATGAGTACTTTTGAGTATCTGGGCCACATGGGTATACTTTTGAGTATACCCACATGGGTCCAAATATCACCTGACCCTCTGCTTGCGTTTTTAACAATAGAGCTATTTGGCCTCACTCATGGAAAACCCGGTGAAACTAATAGTTTCTCAAATCTTTTCTTAATGGTGCCATGGGGAAACAGCTCCTATACCATGTTAAACTAATGGATGCACAGAAGAATTGAGTTTCACATCCCCAGATCTCAGGGCACCTCTGGATTGTAAATTAGGCCTTCCAGACTGTTCAGCATGCTGCATTTGCATCCTAAGCCCATTCTATGGGGGATGAAGGTTTCTGTGCTCTCAGGAAAAAGTATTAACATCTAAACATGAATTGGGTTAGTACGCATGATGTAGCTGCATCCAGATTTCAGCATCTTCAGCTCTTACAACAGCTTTTTCCAAAAGTTGTTTAACTCCAACCACATGGTATTAGCATGTAATGGCTCTGAAGCATGCTTCTATCACCCTTTGGTAAGTCAGGCGAGTGTTCCACATCTGCATTCTGGTCAAACCTAGAAAAATTTCTCATTGCTGACAGTGGGCATTGCATTGGTGTACTTCAGTTGTAAAGTACAGTAAGCTTCCGATAATCCGGCACTGTTAGGACCCAGGGGGTGCCGGATTATCAGATATGCCAGACTATCGGAAGGGGGGGCTATGAGGGGTCTGGGATGGGGTAGGGGGGGATGCCACCCCAGACCTCTCATAGCCCCCCCTTCCGATAGTCTGGATCTGCCCCAGGCATCCCCGATTCAGCTGCTGCTGGTCAGTTTCAGCGGCGGCTGAATCTGGGACCCCTTGGGCAGAGCAGTTGGGGTGCTGCCAGGTTGGTCCTGACTAGTATGGCAGTTCTTATGGCCTTACTATTACACTTAGCATTTTGTCAGTTATGTTTATTCTCTAGGCTCTTAAGGGAGGAATATTACCTAATAGCATATGCTCAGGGTGAGGCGCCAGGAACTTCTACGTTCTAGTTCTGGCTCTTACCCAAGGCCTGACTCTGTCTGTATTCTTAAGCAAGTAACTAGGGACCTTATCCAATTCCTCAGAGCACTTCCGGGTTCCTGCTGGTGCTGGACCATCAGGAGTGCTGGAGCATTGGATGCCGGACAATGGAGTTTTACTGTAGTTGTTCTGCTTTAGGCGTGCAGGGCTTAGGCTAAAGGGATATTTAATTGTGTTGCAGATGTTTGGGCTTGGGTTGGAGCCAGGGCTCTAGGAACCCCGTAAGTTGGGAGAATCCAAATGTTTACACCACAATTACAGGGTTCCTTAGCCTAACATGCCTGAGTCAGCTGGAATAGGCCAGCTGTGGGTATCTAACTGCAGTGCAGATATACCCTCAGGTTTAGGGAGACCCAGAGCATGGGGTTGCATCCTTGACTGTCTTGCCTTAATAGGACCTATCATCTATGAACTTACCTAATCATTTTGTAATTCAGTTAGGCTTTTTCATAAGAATAATGGCCATACATTGTTTCAAGAATGTAGCATTAAACCACTAATAGTGTGAAACTGAGCTAACTTTCAAGATGTCAGAATAGTCAAGAGAAAAAACAAACATTGCAATATAATTTGCATTTTCTCTTGCAAACCAGTGAGGTGCAGGCCATATGCTGGCCATGGACAGCACACTTACAAATGCTGTTCACTATATTTAAAAACACAAGCACTATTGCGTGAAAGGCAAACAGCAGATTTTTGAAAGCACATAAATACTGTTAGAAAAACTGCCATTTTATGAACAGATTTGGAAGTTTTTGCATACATTTCCAAGAACTTTCACAATATTTGTATTCTGTCCCTAACAGGAAATAGGTTTTATTTTTTCTATTTTTAAAGCTAATATATTGCTTGTAAAAGGTAACAGATTGAACTTGCTCTGCAGCAAAGGCAGTCAGACTGCCTCCCCATATTGTCTTGTGGATTTTTCAAAATATTTTAACCCCCCCTCCCTCCCTTTCCCTCTCCCTCTCTCCCTCTCATTTACTTCCAGTTGCTATTCCTACTTCTTTTTTCTAGCATCTTCCACAGCAAAGTCATTTTAAAGCAAGGAAGCCTCCTTAAACGGGGATCTATTCTCAGATCGTTTATACATTGCTATTTTATCATGGCCTAGGTTATATGGTTATACTAGATCACTGCCCTAATGAATATCTCGAAGTGTATCCTAAACTAAAATATCCGTATCAGACTTAATTCCTATTGTTACAATATTGGATATTTTTCTCATCACTAGAAACAAATGCAACATATGATTCAACCTTTCATAAAGGCATCAGACTTCCAAAACCAAAAGCTGGAACATAATAAGAACAGGATTTTAAGCATTAAGGTTTCCTAACATCTTAATACTTTGCCATCTAGTACATGCAAAAAAAAAAAATCTTCAGGAATGGAGGGGGCGGAGGGTAGAGAATGACAAATTTTCATATTTCCATTTTAATCATGTAAACTCAATTGAGTTAACCCATTACCATAAACTAAAAATATTCAGAGGAACGATACAATTCAAGAGTATGCCAATCAGAGGCACTATGAAGAGCTTAATCCTAATAGTGTAATTTCACAATGGTCATTTACAAAAATATTTTAAAATACCCACTAAAATTGGAAAAAATGTACCTCCTTCCTTCTGTGGAATTGAGGGATAACTAGTAAGACAGATTGTTCTTATAACGGAACAGCTCACACAAGAGAAGCACCAAAAAGAGGGATAGACATTTAGAAATTTGGCCACCTTTTCTAGCATGTTCAAGAGGAAATCCTCCTAGCCAGCAAGCTAGAATTTTTAAGCCACACTCTTTGACTATTATACTGATCCTGAACAAGTAATGTATAAGGTAGTATGTTAATGTTTTATCATAACTTTTCAATAATACAAAAAAGATAAAATAAAATCAGCTAACATTCACGACAGAAAAGACAAGAAGTCATGGAATTATATTTAAAGCCACAGGCACTAGCCTCCCTGTCCAACTGATATTTGATCCCATGTATGTTTCCGGAATTCCAACCCTTTATTAGCTTTCTGGGCAGAGCCTAAACTGTGCAGTAGTCACCAGTCTTACTCCGCATTGTTCATTTGTTTTGCAACAACATCTGCCCACTTTGGTTCCAAAGTGGTGAGTCTTTAACTTAATTAAAACTTAAGAATCATAATTTATACCAGCTATAATGAATCTATACCAAGGGCTAGCTTTAACACAGTTCTACAAATATAAGCATCTAATGACTAACTTTTCACCTTGTAGGGAGGAACTCTATTCTCATAGGCAAAAATCCATAAACACTTTTTTTTTTGTTTTTTTTGTTTTTAAAAGAGCCCCACAGGCAATGTTTTGGCAAGCTGTGAACATAAGGCCCTTGGGAAGCTTCACCATCTGCACATTTCACTAGCACACATTCATCCAACAGACTGTCTCAAACTCAATTAGGAGAAAACAATGACCATCTCCAAACCACCATAAGCTTGAAATGCTACAAACACTGAATTGCATGCGAATTATCCCACAGAAGGAATAACAAGAATGGAACACATCTCACTCCAGAAAGGTGCTCCAGGCCTCCCCTTTCAGATGGTTTGTGCGGGGAGAGCACTGTGCCGGTAGGGTGCGTTTGAAGCACTTACGAGATGTAGGCAGGATAACCGAATCCAATCAGGTTGCACAGTAGCGATGCTCCATAGCCGATCACAAGGTACACGGCCAGCACGCCAATGATAGCTACCCAGGGAGAAAGCAGAGAGCGCATTAGAAAGGGGAAAGAGACCAGCTATAGATAGATGGGGCGTGTCCTTGACGGTTGTGGTGGAAAGGAAACCAAACTAACGAGTCAGCTCCTCGCTCCCCGAAGCCCCAATCGCCTATTACCAGCCCTCCTCCCTTCCCCCCCCCCCAAAAAAAAGCCAGCCGGTGGGGCCGCTCCCGACCTGTGACACTGAAGGGGTACATCAGGGCAGGAAGCAAACCCGACACGTCAGCCTCGCTGGCTAGTCAATTTCCACCTCCCGAGAGTAACTCGCTCGCTCTCCTCTTTCCTCCCCTGCACACGCCCGGGATCAGATGCCATGCACGAGGGAAGGGGGGGAAGGGTCTCTCTCTCGGCGATCTGCGGGGAGGGGCAGGGCAATGCACAGTGCGGCTCAGGAGCGTCCCTGCAGCAGAAATGGCCACAAGACGAAGGCCGGGGAGCAGTAACGGGGGGAAGAGGAGGAGTTGGGCTGGTGTAACTGGAGAGCACAACATTGCTGTCGCTCCTCAGCTGCCAGAGACACCCAATCCCGGACATACCGCCGCCTCCCCCAAACCCCGTTACATAACCCAGAGCACGGCACCGATCCCAGCTCCCGCCCTAGGGCCGGGCTTCCCCCACGGACCCGCACTCACCGATGGCGATGTAGGATCTGCTCACCCCCGTCTTGCTCTCGATCTTCTCCAGCAGGCTGGTCATGCAGTTCTTCTCGTGGAGGAACTTCTCAAACCGCTGCCTCATGGAGGCCGTCATGGCGATACCGCTCGGCTGCCTGTGGCTGGAGAGCGCGCCGCGCCCGGATCCTGCAGCCCAGCCTTGGCACTACGCGGCAGGGGCTGCAGTGGCTCTGCTGGCTGCAACACCCTGGCCGCCGAGAGGAGGAGGCGGCAGCATCATGGGATATGTGAGCGGAGCGTCAGCCCGGCCTCGCTGCCCTCCCCCTCCAGATCACTGCAAACACCACGCCCAGCCCCGGCGGCAGCTGCTGCAGCGGGCTGGGTGCTGCAGGCTCTGGCGAGCTGCCGGCCGGCGACTGCACTGTTACTATGGCAAGAGGCGGAGGGCGGTGTTTGGGGAGGATAAAACAGGCAAAAGGGCCAGGCTGTGGGCTGAAAGGCGACGGGAGTTCGGGGCGGGGTTGGGGAGACATTTTCCAGGACGTCAACCCCTCAGTAAACAGCCAAGAGCTCTCACCGTGTTGTGAGCATGCGCTGCCGGGCGGCAGAGACCTAGAGATTATCCCCTTCAATTTTCCTCCTTCTCTCCCCAACGCAGCATACAGTGTCCCCTAACAGTCTCTCTCTTTCTCTGTATGTGCATATATATATGTATATGCGCTATCAAATCACTAAACTGGTACTAATGGATACTTAGCTGAAAGGCACAAAAGACCTGTCACTAGGGAGGCCTTGAATTTTTTTGAATGTTAGTGATATTATGTGCAAATAGATCTACATCTTAATTCTTGGTTGGAATCCATTCTTATTTTATATTTGTTTACTTTGAACAGGATTTTCAGTACCCAACATTGTGTATGATTTCATAGGTTAAAAAGAAGACTGTCAGTACTTGGGAGTACAGACTATCTAATTATAAATTTGAGACAGAGTCAGGGTAACACACTAGAGAAAGGATGAAATGAGGAAGAACAAATGTTATGCACTTTTACTGGGAATATGAAGCAAAATGCAGGACAATATAGCACTTTAAAGACTAACAAGATGGTTTATTAGATGATGAGCTTTCGTGGGCCAGACCCACTTCCTCAGATCAAAAATACTGGGAATATGTATGACTGTGTGACCATCTACAGGCAGAACTAAACCTGGGACCTCTAGAGCTTCGTGTAGGACAGGGCTACTCAACACGTGGCTCCTGGGCCGCGTGCAGCCCATGGACTGACCATTTGTTTGCAGCCCATGGTGCAGTTTGGGTTTATGTGGGGCTCAACACATGGCCTGCAGGTGGGATCCTTTGAATATGGCTTCCTCTGAGAACATGCTCCACAACAGAGGCATCTCCCAGGCAGGGTAAGCACTGAAAGATGCAAACAGATGTGCTGGCTGGAACAGACAGGTATAGGTGATGGCATTTCTAGCCTCCAGGGAGGAAGTACGGGGAGTGCTGGGGCATTGTGGGAAGTGCTTTGTATTCATGCCCGTCAGTGTGAAATAAGCTATTTGCATATATATTTGCATGTGTTGCAGCCCTCAGCATGTGCTGTGAGTATTATTGTGGCCCCTGCATCTTCCCAGCTTGAGCTATAAAGCCATCTGGTTCTCACTTTAAACTGTAGAGGTCATTCATTCTTATCTCTCACTGTAAGCAGTCTAAGTGCCACTACATTGAACAGTCCCCCCTTCCCCTTAGGTATGTGGGTTACAACAGCATCAGAGTAGTACTAAAAGTTTGTAACTTTACCATGGAAGTCAATTCTGTCATAGGTTTAGAATAGTTTCTCTGCCAACAATATGTAATTTACAAAATATGATGCAATCTTGGAACCTTTCTTGGCTTGCTGACTAGTAAATCTCTTTGTTTTAGCCCTTGTCCTGTACCAGAAGCTTCTTGATGTTACACCTTGATTCAGTGATGTGGTGGGAGCCTCAAGGGTTAAAGCCAACTACCCAGTGAAAACTACTGGATGATGGTGAAACAAATGATTTTTTATTAAATGGAATGATTCTTTTATCAAAACCAAATAGCTTTCAAATGAATTTAAAAAACAAGCAATTACCTAATGCTTATACAGGGTGGAAAAACATAAACTTAGCTATACTTAACTAATTACAAACTTCTTTGATTACAATTTAACTATACCAAATTACTTGTTTCTAATTCTCTTAAGGCAGCGCAGCATGCAAGCAAAAAATACAAAAACAAAGCCAATATAATGATAATATAACCTTCGTCCACAGCCAGCCCCTCTATGGTTATTTTAGGCAGCTGGTGGAGTTAGTCATTAATCTACCTCTACAACTTAACAACTCCTGGGTTACTATTTTTAACACTTATACTTAGCCTAAATACAACACCACTACGCAACGCAAGATTATACAATTTACACGGTGTAGTTAATAGAACTCAGTTACACTTTACAAAATTACACAGTGAAATTAACACGATTCAACTGTTAACTAAACCAAAACCTAATATATTTAAGCACTTCGAAGAACAGTCATTACTGCACAAGGTGCGTAACTTCCTTTTTTTTTCTCCAACTTTATCTTCTCTCTTTAGTGATCAAATCCTGTTCTGGATCCAATTGCCATCTGAAAATAGGATCAAAATTAACCACAGAATGGCACAAATTACTTGCTCTAGTGCCTTTTATGTTACATATGAAGTGCTGTTGTAGCTGCCGATCCCAGGATTTTAGAGAGTCAAGGTAGGTGAGATAATATATTTTAATGGACAATTTCTTATGGTGACAGACAAGCTTTCAAATTTACACTAAGCTAACCCAATGAAGAGCTCTGTATAAACTCAAAAGTGGGTCTCTTTCACCAGCAGAAGTTGATTCAATTAAAGATATTTCTAGAGCCCAGCACAGATACAAATTTCTAACCACAGATTTAGATATTCACAGATACAAACTGGTATCTGCTGATCTACATTACTCTGTTTTCAGGAACTGCAATGGTCAAATGAGAATAACATAGTGCCGCCATAGCCAGCATCCCACACCCGCAGCTTCACCTATACCACTCCAGTGGTGCTGTTCAACCCCAAACAAGAAAAATGGCTGGGTGTGGGGCTAGGGTGGGTACAGTCACATGGCCAGAAGAAACTGCTGGTGTAAGGCCCTGGCTATGACGGCACCATGTTCTCATTTGGCTGTTGAGACTCTTAGGAGTAGAGCCTTGCCTAGTGGATCAGTGGATACCAATTTCTATCTGCACATAGAAATTTGTATCTGTGTAGGGTTCTATATATTGCCTCACCTACCTTTACCTTTTCTATGATACATTTCAACTCATAAAATAACAATGTAAATTAAGTCATTATTATATATTATTGAACTAAAATAAGTGCCTGTATATGGGGTTTGTACCAAGTCACCACAATCAGTTTCTGAGGCATTGCACATCTTCAAACTTACATCAATATAATTAAGCCAGTTTAATTAAAATGGTGCAAACCATAGTGTGAACACTTATTTTGATGTAAAAAGGCTTTGCTTAAGTTTACCTTTAACCTGTGTATACTCAATTTAGCTAAACCAAATGAAGAATGTCCTGGTTTAATTAAATGGGTTAAAGTCATACCTTAAGTTTAAATCCAGACAATTGCGCACACTAACAAGACCTAATTGGATTTTAAAAGGTAGGATCATTGACATATGCACTCTTGATCAGCCAGAGACAGCAGAAGGCAGAGAAAACAAATAATTAAAAAAAAAAAAAGGACAAAAGAAGGTAGAGTCAGAGATGGAAACATACAGGCCTCATCTACACTAAGAAAAGTGTGTTTGTATATGTCAATAATAATATGAACATGTAAATATCCTAGTCTAGATATGGACTAGGATATTTATGTAGTTGTAGTTATGTTAGCTGTTCAGAGTACAAAATATTTAAAATATGTCTCTGTGAGTTACGTAGCCCACATTGGTACTAAAATAATTGAAGCTAGAGAGTTTGATTAAGGCACCTGGTTGCACCTTGAGCCTGGGCCAGGCCCAGATGGTAGCTGAGCAAAAGCTGAGGAAGCCCATATAAGGAGTGAGATGAAAAGAATTTTTTAGTTTTTGTTGGCTTATTAAATGTCTATAGAGAGGTAAATCTATAATAGTCCCAAATAGGAGTTGTGGGAATGGGTTTGAAGGCTAGCTAATGTAGGAAGAAATCCAGGGAGAAAGTTATAGTTCCCCTCCTTTTTATTTCTACAATTATTAAGGAACGAACCCAATTTGTTAGTTCTTCTCTGAATAACATCATTTGCTGCCATTTCTTAGAGCACTTATAGCTTCTTTTAAGGCTTTGTAGAACTTGTGTAGCATGTACTACAGGTTCTGCAGCTTCTTTTGATCATATATGTTACTAAGAAGCACTTGTGTTTTACAAATACATCTTCATGTGATACTATTAATATTTACATATCTGGTTCTGTGTTTCTGTAGCAGTAGTTTTCTTCTAGGCGTATGTGTACTTCTGGGGATATGCAGATCTTCCAGGGGGTACATCAATTTATCTAGATATATGTCTAGTTTTACAACAGGCTACATAAAAACACTAGCAAAATCAATACAAACTAACATTTCATGCAAACACAATGAGAAAGTAAAGTTTTTCAGCCATAGTATGCCGTGGCATTTTTGTATGTTTGATTTTATAAGCAAGTACTTTTTCAGCGAGGTAGAACTTGTGAAAAATCAAGACAAATCAGAGACCTGAAAGTGGTGCAGTAGTCTGGAAGAG